ACCAAGCAAAGCTGTAACGTCGTTATACCCCTATCTTACGCCATTGAGGGCAATGTCGAGCTTAAGTGTGTGTGTGTGGGGGGGGGGTAGTCTACTTTTATGCTTGTGTGAGTGTGATTGATGCTTGGAGCCTTGATTTATGCCCAAATTTGAAAAATTTGAGGGCTCCAAGCAATGTTTGCATGATGAAAGTGGCTGGTTTGTACGAGAATCTTGTGGTTATTGGCATTGATCTTGAATTGTTGCATGTGATCTAGTATGTCCTATGATGATGATTTAGAGGTGCATTAGGATAGTGCAAAGGTTTAGTTCTCATGTGTGACAAAATGAATGGTTGTTTTGACTCGATTACTTGTTGATTACAATTGCCATGCATGTTGCTTTGTGAATTGGAATAGTTGGTTGGGTGACTAGGTAGCCATGTGAGCTTTGACCTGATCGTTTTTTTCTTGTGTGCTTAGATCCCTCTTACCATGGCGAGTAACATCACAATTGTCACTAGTGAGTATGATGGAGGCATAGGATTAGTCCACGCCCAAATGTTGATTGTCCCGAATGAATTATCCACTAGTCAACCCCTTTGAGCCTTGTGACTTTGGGGGTCGTTCTTATGTTAGGAGCGTTTTTCTTGTGAGCTTAAGGGTGTTAATAGAACGACCCCCATCCTTTCTTTGTGTCTATACATGTGTCGTCCTTGTGTCCCGGAGTTCTCGCTTTTGAGCTCCAATGAGGTTCTACATAGGAGGATTGTGTGCGGTTCTTGCTAGGATCGAAAATGAAAGGAAGAGTAGTGTTGGAGTGAGTTCTTAAAAAGAGAGCATTGATCGTTAAAAGTAGTTTGGCAAATGTTTAACTCTCTCCAGTACCCCCCTCAAAAAGAAAAGAAAAAGGAAAGTAGAAATAAAAAGAAAGGGAAACGAAAATGAGGTAAATAAAGTAGAGAGTGCCACAAGGAATCAAAGAGTATGCTCTAGGTGAGGTTTCTTGGCACACAAGCCATTGAAACCTCCACATTGTCTTAGAACTCCTTCGTTACCAAGTCAAAGTGTAACAGCAAGAGTGGATCAAGGAAGAGTGCTTAAGGGAAGTTCATGATGGGTGATAGTTTGGAAGGGAGAAGCAAGGTTTTTGGCTGATGCTAGTGGCCGTTGTTTGTGAGGAAGGTTCTTAGTCGAAACCATAGAACCTTTGGTTCTAGGGTAAAGATGTAGGACCTCATGATATGTTTGCCACCACCCAAAAAGCCTTTTCCCCATGTCCAAGACAATCGTCAATCATTTGAACCAGTGTCTAAGACCTCCGGACAAGCTAGTGATGACAACCGTTTCGTGAACTCTAGCATTTAGAGTTTGCCGCCAGGGTGTTGAGACGATAGGGCCGAGAGTGGATGATTGTGCACATTTTTTGCACCAAAAGGTCCCGACCCCATTGGTCAAGAGAGTAAGTGATTCATTCTTGTTTTGCATGTCATATCGTACCCCGGTGAGGACCTTTGTTGCCCATCTGTTTGTTCCTTAGACTTGAACTCTATGCATGGTTAGTTGTGGTTGGTAAGTGATCTTGTTGAAACTTGCATTGATTCATGAACAAGGTGAGAACTATTCATTTGCTCGTTTCTAGTAGCCTCGAATGTCATTGTGGTGGATGTCGCTGTGGCTAGAAACGGTCCTTGTGTTAATTGCCAATCGCCATTTGAGATTCGCCACTTTGTGCCATTTGAATTGTCGTCAAATCATTTTGATAGGTTGAGTTTTTACCTTGTGTGAAATGGTTTGCTTGGGGACAAGCAAACGTCTATGTGTGGGGGAGTGATTCGAGCCTAATTGCACACATTTTATCCCCGTTTCCCTTGGGCGTTTGTAGCATTTGGACTCCTAAAAGGGTGGTTTTAGGCTAGGTTTTGTGCGTTTTAATGTGTTTCAGGATCCAACAGGTGAAACCAGCCCCGGAGTCGTGAAACACCCTACGGCCGGGTACTACTTTTACTAAAATTCCCTTGATAAACAAAATACTCAAATCTTAATTTGCAGCGGGAAAAATTTTCATAAATAAAATGCTGAAAACACACACTTGAAGCTCAGAGCAAAGCCCTAACACGTGGGCAAATTAAACTCAAACTTTAAAATCTCAATCTGATCTCCAGTCTATACTCTTAATCATAAATGTAAATAACTAGGTAGTCTCTGTCGTTGCTGCTACTGAAAATCTTAACTAGGCATCCTCTGTGACGCTTGCACTACCCTCCTCTAGCTGGTTGCTCTCGAACTTTTCCTCTCGAACTTGTTGATCTCTAACTGCTCCTCTAGCTAGCTGCTACCGATCTGGTTCTCGCTCATTCCCTTACTAAGGCCTGGTGAGTGAGTTGGGGTCAGTCTACGCCCTTACGTTTTAACATCTTATTAATACTTGATCACTTTACTTAACTAAGTGGAAGTTGTTTTGTACTTCCACTATTAAAAAGCTTAACTCTTAAAACTGTATGGGAGTTACTGATACTCTCCATTCTGAAAGCTCAAATCTTGACTTAAATACTTGACTGACACGGCGATCCCTCACTAGCTAGTCCGGTTGCCAACTCATACGTATGAGAAGCCATCAAGGCTTTCCTTAAACTTAAACTTAGTTAGGGAAGTCGTAACGATTCATCCCCCTAACATCTTAAACTTATCGTGGTGGCTCTTCACCACGATTCTCAAGAGCATAACTGCTGCTCATCTTAAAAGTCTCAAGAGCATAACTGCTGCTCTGTCTCAAAGATCTCAAGAGCATAACTGCTGCTCTATCTGAAAATCTCAAATGGCAACGGACTGGCGTTAGTGACTAAAAACACTTAAAACGACTTCACCTTCTTGAAGGTGAGTTACTTCTTAAAAAGAACTTGTTTCTTAAACTTTAACCATAACTTATAAACGCAAAGCTTTAAAGTAAGTAATAAATCATGCACATTCACTTCAAACATAGCTCAACAAAATCACATATCATCAACCATAAGCACAATCAAACAACGACCATCACCTCATCAAAATACTTAAAGCTCGTAATACTTGAAAAAAACACGCAAGGCGTAGAATTTACCCTCTTTACACTCACCTCAACTCCGTCGAATACGACTCTGAATCCGCTCTAAAAAATTCCATGAGTCGTTTCCACTGAATCCTACTCGTTCCCACGATTCCATAGGCGTCGACGGTTCCTCGATCGGACGTCAATTGATCGAGTTATATCCAAATAAACATTCTGTCAGTTTAAAAGTACCAGGTACAGAAACTGAAATTTTCCAGTCAACATAGTTGACCACTGTCTATCAGGAAAATTACGGATTTAATCCTCAAACTTATCGAATTGACAAGAATAATACCTGAACTATCCGATTTGTATCCCAAACTTTCGAGGCTCGTATCTCCCTCGTCCAACGTCGAAATTCGATTCCGTCAAAACCGGGGTGTTCCTGAGATCGTCCACTACGCGGTGATACCCACCACTCAAAGAATGGTCGAAATCGGCTACACCGGGATCGTCATCTGGACTACGATCGTCGGGAGAAGATGCAAACGTCGATGATGGCTACGATGGCGAGGCGAGGCTGCTGCGGTTGTGTTCGTCCAGCGGGAGGGTAGGAGACCAGTGCGCTGCTGTTGCCTCTCCTCCGCCGCTAACTGCTACTTTCGTCCGCAGCTTGCTGCTGCTCGCTGATCTGGCCGCGCGAAGGAGAGAGGAGGCGGTTGCTGATGCTGGGCGGTGATGATGCTGGCAAAAAAATGGCGGCTGGGGGATTTATTTATTTATTTGTTTACTTGTTTGTCTTCCTATGCCGAAGGTGAAGAGGAAACGTGCGACATTGGTAAAGGGGTCGTTTGGAAATGGATTGGTGATGGTGGTGATGGTGGTGATTATCATGTTAATAATAATAATAGTAATAATAATAATGTTATTATTATTTTAAATTAATCGTTGCAATCCTTCGTACGTAATCGTCAATCTAACCGATCACGGATTACGGTCGAACCTAAATCTAAAATACCAGGGTGTTACATTTCCTCCATCTTTATAAAAATTTCGCCCCCGAAATTTGATCGAGCTCATCCTTCCATACTCCTCATTCTCGTGCTTCTTTGGGTCAAGATTTCACTCTTGTTATACGAACTTCAATGGCGTGCCCTTACCTTGTCTTGAATAGCTTATTATAGTTCTTATTTGTACTCTTGACCACAACAAGTATTCTCATCTAGCTCGGTATCATCGAATAGGTTGAGTGACTCATTGTCCCTTTCAAAAATTTCCAACTCGGGCCCAAGGTGCGATGGGACAAAATTTCGGCTCAATTTATTTGATCCACCTGATTCAGTTCTTGATGTTGAACCTAAATCGAAGTCGAGGTATCACATTTCCTCCCTACTTATAGAAATTTCGCCCTCGAAATTTATCCACTGTGATTACACTAAGCATCCCCTCTCCAACCCCAAGGTCACTGTTGGCGGTTTATCCTCCAAATGAAACACCCTCTCGTTACTTGCTGCTTAGTGCCGAAACCTCATACTACTGCTTCTACTTTTTGTATGCATTAGAGGCATCCTTTGTATCTTTCTCTAGCTTGCGATCAACTTTATGACTTCTTTCCATAATCATGACCTTCCATTTTGAGTACTGTTTCACTTATGGCGCCTAACTTAGCACTTCCTTATCGCCGCCTGAATTTGAAGTTCTCGTACTATCCATTCTGCTACTCTTACACCCTAGCTGAAATTCCTCGTATAGTTTCCCCGTCCAATAGAGTTTTACCCGAGAGATTGACACCTTTCACCAACATAGGCAATCTTGGTTTCACTTTGGGGTATTCTAGTAGGTTCGCTAAACTCATATCCATCTTACTTCTTTACTCGTGACTCCTCTTACCAATGTTTCTCGCTAGTTCTATATGTCCCTCATACTCGATGTAGTCATCCGGGTGTCCATATTCTCTTCTCACTTATGTACCTTGACTGACAATGTTCTCCCTTCGACTATTCTAGCAACGATTATTCCGTCTTAAAATTGATCAAAATTTCACGATGGAATTCCCTAGGATCAATTGTATCCACTAGTAGTTAACCTAATGCTTCCTTATTGTTTGTTGCATTCTTGCTTTGGCCTGCCTTACCTATCTTCCTTTACGCATACATCGCCCGATCGATGACCACCATTTTCTTTCTATAACGTCCTATGGTGTCCTTCCCATTTCTTTTACTTTTACTACCCTTCCGTTGTTGCTTTGTACTATATTTGGTCACCAAACTCTGTTGAGTATCTTCTCGTTATTGTTTGGGTCAAAGCTTCCAATAGAAGATTTCCCTTGGTAGGATTTAACATACCTCATTCACGTCATTTTGTCTAGATTGATGCCTGTATATGGCCTTAATCTCATAGTCTGGGTTCTTAGTGGCTTAAATCATCATGTCTACCTTATCCTTAACTAGCCGATTCCTCAGGATGACCCCCTACTATGTCGCTCCCACTCAGAGTGGGGCACCTTGGATAAGGTAACTTAATGATTTCCTTCTTCCTAGTAATGCTTTTCCACGTCGTACTCCACTATGCATTTTCTTGAACACGAGTCACCTACACATATTCTCGATCCTTCATCGGAACTTCCATGTGTTTACTCGAATTTTCTGCCATTCACTAGAACATTTATTGAACATTCCACTTACTTGTCTATACTCGGTTGGCTTAATGACTTACTCTATAGTTAGTTCCGAGACCTAAGCTCTTAGCCCTCTAGTTCCAACTTAGTAGAGAGGTTCCTCCTTCTGTCACCCCTCATGTACCCTAGGAGGCTAGGTGTTCCCTCTATTTAAGAGAGGACAATCCCATAACAGATCATTGTGAACTCTTGCATACCCCTTCCAACGGTCCCAACATCCTCCTGACTTTTCATGATCTGGGTAGTTTGTAGAGTTTCTCATATCTCAATCCATCCTCTTTCTAGCTCAACATTGTTCACTAGCACATTGTTATTTTTGATCCAAGCTCTTCCTCTACCTCGATCATCTTGACTCTTGTGTTGTTCCTTCCAAAAGCTTGATACCGGCCTAATTCCCCAGGGTCATGTACCCTCTTCTAGATGACGTAGTTTATCTACAAGGGTTCCTTCATCTTCATATGAAAACGACCATGCCTGCTCCCCCCCCCCCCCCCCCCCCCCCCTTAAACTATTGACTTCTTGACGTCCTTTCAGACCCCCTCTAACCTACTTACTTCCTCATTTACACTACCCTAGCTTCTCTTGAAGTCTAAGCTTTCCACTGCTCCTTGTCACTGTGTTGTAATAGTGTTGACCACTAAAACTAGCTGAGGGACTTCACGTGGTACCTCTTCGTTTCTTGACTCGCCACTGCTTAGGGTCAAGGACCCTGAAATTCTTCCATCATTTTATCCGCTGACATCTAGTGCTTGTAGCTCTTTCTTCGGAGGTTCATAGCTCTCCTATTTGTATATCTTAACCTATTAGATCACTTGTTAGTAGCTAAGTAGAAAAATCCTCGTAGTGCTCCTTTAACTCCTTTGATTCCTCGCACCTATACCTCGGGATAAAACTTCGCGATTGGCGCACCCTTATATTAGGACTAAAGTTATTTATCTTAATACAATTAGAGTAGACTGGAGATTCTATAAAGTCTTAAGAGAAGATCCTTGACTCGTTTTCCTTTCCTTTAAAACAAAAGTCTTTAAAACTGAGACCGATATTCCAGTATTCCTTGGAAACCAAGGAACAGAGAGGGTGAAGATCGAACAAAGAGGGTGATCCAAGCGCAGTTCAGGGTTTCCCATGGGAGTTCACGATTCACTATGGCCGTGAACTGAAGCTCAAAATCGTTAATCGCAATGCGGCTATGGAGAAATCTGCAGTTACTACCGCGCGACGAGTTCACGGTCAACAAGAATGTGAAGATTGAGGCCAAACCGTGAACTCTTGATGGCGAAGCGGTGCGTTTCAACATCACGCTCTATGTTCACAGACGCGTTGAAGAGTTCACGGCCGTGAACTGAGGTTGTGAACTAAGCCCGATCCTGGTATATAATGTGAGCTGAAAGGAAGAGAGAGGGGGAGCCCAAGTGTGAGAAAGTGTCTTCTTCTTCTTTAGATTTTAGAGAGAGAAAAGACAAACCAAGGAAGAAAGAAGGCTAGGGTTTGCTCTAAGTGGTGGATTGGGAAGATTCTCCCCAAAAGAATATCAACATAAGCTCAAAGGAGATTGGAGGAATCACCATGATGGTTTCTACCTCTTCCTCTTGTGTTCTTCCCCTTCCTAGCATGAAGTAGTACTCTTTCTCACTTGGGTGTTGTGAAACCCTAACTATTTGCCATGTAGTTGTTGTGTGAATTGAATGATTGTTTATGGGTGTTGTTTAATTCAATGATTGAGGTGTTTTTCATGTTGATTGTGCATGTTTGTGCTTAGCAATCCAATTGGTTATTCTAACCTAGATGAGAGGGAAACCCCACTTTCAAGGGAGGCTCAATTGAGTTGGGATTCCCTGGGCTTTTTAAGCCACCTATCTAGGTTAATGTAGGGCAACCCTCTATGTTGAATTAATCAATTTGGTTAAGCGCGATTAAGTCAACCAACCATTTGGGTTGAGTGAGAGAGTAAGTCAACCATCGATTGTCTTAACCAAGAGGGCTACTTGAGTAGCCTATAATGTATCCCTTGGTTTGGCAAACAAGAGTGTGATCTACGACCATAGTTGCGTTTTCTAGCAGTTCGCGGTCACCTTGCCCGTAACAATTAATTCAATTCCTCGTGCCATGGTAGTAGTTAGGGAGAGGCGACACTCGAGTGATCCTTATCACTTAGAGCTTTCAAAACCATTTACTTTTGCCTTGCTTTACTTTAATTAGCAAACTTTTCAACCAAAACCAATTCGCTAGATAATGTTTCAAACAATTGAAGTAGGGGTACACGGACCGACTCGAGTCGATATTTAAACATACTTTCCCTGTATTGCACCCTACTAAGGTTAATACTTGGACCTCAGGCGGGAATTAATTGTGATATTCGGGATGAGTCAAGGGTTAATGGGCTGATCGGATTTGTCCATTTTTGCACATTTTAAAAGTTAAAGATGCAAAAGTATAATAATTTAATATTGAAGGACTAGAAATATAGTTTAATTTGACGTATATGTATATAACGTAATTTTTTGGAACTTCAGAGACTAAAAATAAAATTTAATTTAAAGTATCGTCTTATAAATGTACACTCCATTTATTAAAAAAACCCTACCCTAGTCAAATCTCTGGTGGGTAGCAAGAGTATCACAACGGCGCCGCACGAGGGGCAAGCCCGGTGAGCCGCTCTGTCGGGCTAATCGTTCGAGTTGGCCAGGTTTCACCGGACTTGACTAGATCCGAGCGGTTTTCCAATGGGTTGTTGTAGCCCATTTTTGTAGACGGGTCCGAGTCAAACTGGGTTGTCACGAGGGTCGACCCGCAGGTTGACAACCTTGATTGCTACTGTCCTCCATCGCAACTCGGTCGACAATGTTACCTCCTTTGCCCCTTCATTATTTCAAAGTGGTACTATTTTTCAGGTAGTACCTCTTCTTAATGGAATGATATATTTAAATATGATCATACTTTTTCTAGTGGTCCAATAATTGGATCAGTGATAATTTTTTAGTGTAGTAATACATTTATTTTAATGAAATTATACTTTTTTATTCAGTAGTGGTATCCTTTTTCCAAGGTTTAGGCAACCCTACCGTACCGTCGGTCAGACTGGAAATGCCAGATACCAGACCCAAAATGTTAGGCTGTTTTATCGGTAGGAAATAGTTCAAACACAGTTATACCACGGTTTTAGTACAAAATACCCTACAGTTCACTTTTTCGGTATAACCTCCGGTACGGTTTCATGAACCTTGCTTTTTTCTGAGTTGTGTTTATTTAGCATAATTATATTTTTTTGTTCAACAATTGTCCTTTTTTATTCAACAATGGTACCTTCTCAAAGTGTATGCAGTGGGTTTTTTTTCCTATGTGGTCGGAGGGAGTCGGGCAGAGGAAGTCCACCAGAAGAATATGTTTAAAAAAAAAAAATTGTCGGAAGACAAAAGACGGTGCTGGAAAAGGGATTGTGTTAGGCAAGGAGAAAAAATGTAATTAATATAAGATTTAAATTAAAAAAGTCATACAATTAGTATTTGTTTTAATTCCCAAAGTACAATTAATACAAAAAAGTCTCAATACCCAAAAAATCTTCTTGGGGCAGAGGAGATTGTCAAAATGACAATCCTTTTGGGGTTGTGACAGTATCTCGTCTCCCTACCTATTGCATGGAGAAGACTCACAATCCTTCACCACTTCACATCAGTAGCAACATTTTTTTGCGCAATGTAAATCATTATTTGCACCAAGCCACAACACCAACACATAATTAAACCAAATACTCCATGTATGATACAAACGTAAAAACACACATAAAGTAGTTGATGACTGACTATGGTATCACTAAACCAAATTTTGTACAGATAAATGTGTAAATAAATTCGCTGGTGGATTATGTACAACATATGAGAACATTGTACTTGTCATTCCATTATCCTCTTTTAGCACCTGCTGAACTACACGAAGACAATCAGACTCCACCACTCCTTCCATTACTCCCCATCTTTCTGTCATTTCAATCCCAAAATTGACAGCCTTGATCTCGGCCATCTCGGGTTTCCATTGGATTCGAGTTCTTCGAATGGATGCAGTGCAGTCAAAATCGCGCATTAAAACATAAAAACTTACGTTTTTACGTATCCAGGCCACCAATATGTTTCAGTTTCTACCTAAAATCGCTTAGTCACAAAAACTGGTAAAAACGATAAAATCGGTAAAATCGCGATTCTGAAGCATTTTTATACGATTTTGATCATCTCATTAAAATGTGCTAATTGGCAAAAAATTATGTAATTTTTGAGACATATCAGTAAAAAATAAAAAAAGGAAAACATGATTCATCACTCTTTCTACAACTAGTGTCGAAATAAGAGGCTTCACATTAGGTTGAAAAGACACCTAATGGTATTCTCAACAGCCGTTGATCTTTTATCAGTCTTCTCCCTTAATCTTCACATGTGGCTCTTTCCTAGGTTACGATGAAACTTTATGGGTAACTGATCGTATGTAATTATGTAAACTCAAACGAGCTTATGAGAATTTGGATTCTCATGCTCGTTTACGTGTTACGATCTACGTTTTTGAGCTTATTATTAAGATGCAATGAGTTTTCTCTACTTTTGAGTCAACACAAATTAGTTTATGTGTTAGATATTACATTTTAATTATGAATTTCATGTAGTTATCCACTTATCTAAAATCTACACACTCACATTTTACATATTATATGTTGTACTTAATCTATTTTAGAGGGTGTGTCAAAAACTTACGATTTTACGCTTTGATTCTACGTTTTACGATTTTACCCATTTTCCGCTTCTAGGTAGAATCGCGCTTTTATTTGCATTGAATGGATGCACAGTAAAAATTGCTATTGTGATCCCTAACCAGCACTCCAAAGCCCGTTCCTTCCTCTTCTAAACATGCAACATCGACATTGATCTTGAAATTTCCGGAGAGAGGAGGTTCCCACCTCAGCACCTGTCTGCTCGATGACGTCTCCGGTTGGGATTGGTGTTCCAGGTATTCTCCCAACCATCTATCTACTTTGTTCATTATCTCATATTCCTCCATTTTCTTCTTATTCCACAAATGATTGTTCCTCTCATTCCAGAAGAACCACAATGCTACCAGGAATTGCCCAATTGCTTCACCCGTTTTTTGATTCTTGCAATGAGACCATCCATTCCTCACTAGTAAGATCTGCTCCTTTCTCGAAAAGATGATTTAGCAAACTAGGTCTCCACACACGACGAACCCAGCCACATTATTGAAAGAGGTGGGGTTGGGTTCCGTCTGCCCGTAGAAAGGGCATTCATCACACCTCTCTTTGTTCTGTCTAGGATGTTCGCCCCTGTGGTAATAATATTACGTATCCATTTCTAGCCAAAGAACTTCACTTTTGGTGGGATTGGGAGGTCTCGGAAGCGTGCCCAGTTAATTGAGGTATATAGCTCGCCCTACTCCAATTCCTGTCTATTCCTCCAAAAATGGTAGGTCGATTTCACTGTATAGATACCTGACTTCTCGTGACCCCAGATTCTGAAATCTTCAGCAGGAGCATTAGGGATATGTGTACTTAAGATTCGTTGTCTGTCTTGTGGATTGAAATGAGTTTATTTAAAGAGGTGACACCTTGTTGAATGCCCACTACAACCACTGATTAGTGATTACCATGTCTTTTTAGGCAAATAAAATATTTTAAAAGACAGGAGAATTATAAGGATGTATTTTTTTTTTGTAGCTTTTTTGTTCTGTTAATGATCTTTTGGGATATTGCTCTAGTCAGCTATGCTTTCACTTCATGTTAGAATTTTGGGGATTCTTAGATGTATGAACTTGATATAAGGGTTCTCCATTCTTTCCTGTTATGATAGAAATATTGTTATGATCTTCATACTTTTTTACACGAAACACCTGAGTTTTGTTACCGATTAAGAGGTATCATTAAGTTCAAGTCGAGAACTACGCTCGCGAAGATATTATTTTGAGAAGTGGGTGATGAAGGGGTTCATTGTAAATCATGTGTACTATACGCTACTAGCAAATTTGTTGCGCGTACCAACATTTCTTTACCATATTTACAAAATTGTTTTTTTATATTTTTCAAAATCACTTTTCATTTTTACATTGAGTATGAGCGGATTATCTTTCGTTCCCCGAGTCTCTATTTCGTATTTTTTTATTTCATTTGTTATATCTTCTTCCTTGCTCCATTCTTCACCATTGATTTAAAGAGTTTCTATCAAACACTTTATACAACCCCATTGCCTACAACTAGTAAGCGAACATCGTGCTCTGTCAGCTTAGTGAATCCCTTTCAACGTATGTTAGTGCATGGAATTGCACAAAACTGCAAACTCAGTAGACTCAACTACTTCCATGAAAACAAAAACAAAAAAGTAGGATTTGATATTTCATAACACCAAGAAGGAACCGTTGAATAACCCTCTTCTGATACATGAAGCACAAGGTAAATGTGTTAAATCGTACTAAGTTGAAGGGTTACCAACACCAATGTCAAGACAGGGGTGCGAGCAGGAGAATTATAAGGATTATTTTGCTCTAGCCGGTTGTGCTTTCACTTCATACTAGAATTCCATAGTTTTTTCAGATGTTCGAACTTGGTAGAAGGGGTCTTCATTCTTTCATGTTATGACATAAATATTGTTATGATCTTCATATTTTTTACATGAACCACCTGAGTTATGTTACGGTTTAAGAGTTAATTATCTTTATATTTTATGTTCTTCCTCACTTCTCTCTTCTGCATTTTTTTTACTAGCATGGTGCCCGGACGTTGGCCGGGTGTATGATGCGATGTGTTGTGTATTGTTGCCAACAGTTGATTGCATGTTGAGTGGTGTATCTGAATTCTTAGTAAGGTATTCAAGGGAAGGTTTTATGATGGACGCAAAGTTGTTTAGACGTCAAAATACCACAATTCAATATGATTTTTGTTGTATTAGTCTACAATATTGGGTTGGACATCAGAACTAACCAATGTGAAATTTTAAGAGGGTTTAAAGTATTAGTGCTTTAGTTTTTTGTTTTTATGGTACAACTTTAAGTGGTACAATTAACGTTATGGTACAATTTCAGGTTGTACCTATACCATTTTGTTCAAAGTCTTTTATGGTATAACTTAAACTTGTACATTTATGTGATGGTATAACTTGAAGTTATAATGTATAAAACCACTTATGCTACAATTTGAACTTGTACTTGTAACGTTATGGTACAACTTCATGTTGTAACTTAAAACACTAATACTTTAAAGCATAACATAAATGCTCCTAACCAATAAGCTTTTATATTCATAAAAGATTTCTAGTCTATATATAATATATATATATATATATATATGGTGAGGACTGGTGTACGTCAGGCGTATAGTATATGTCAGATTTCTTCACCGTTGATCTCATCTAACGGTCATTATTTACGATAATAAAAAATCATTATTTTTTGCCATTATAATTACCAGTTACACCCATTAAAATTATATACATACGATATAGTCCTCGAACAAATTTTACCATTGCTTTTCATATTATAGTACCTTATTTTTTCTGAATCGCTATTCGTCGCCCTAAATTTTAAATCTTTTCACCCTAATTTATTCCTAATTTTAATTTAAATTATTTTATTAAATCAATTAACTTCATAAATCAAACCCTAAACTAATTCAAAATCGCTGTCCGTCTCACCCCTGGCGATCGACTCGGTTGCGGCGCTTGCTTCTCGCTGAACCTGCCTCTCGTCGACGGTCACCGGAGCTCCAACGTCCGACCACGACTACGGCTTGTCCTTGGTTCTTAGATCAAGAAGACTAATATAGCAATTGTCAGAGTAGCTATCTATAAGAGTTCTTTTCGTCCAACCAATGGAGTTGATTGGCGTGACCTAGAGACCATCATGGAAATTCGTAGAAGAAATCAACATGCTTCCCGGTGAAATGATCCCATACGCCGATTCCGTCCGTACTCTTTGATTTTGTTTTTCCAACCGCTGAAGGTTCGGTGGTTGGGATTTTGGATGTGGCGAGCGCTCCGGCAATAAAGCTCTTGACTTGATTGTCGTGGGTGACTTGGAATTTGAATCGGAGATGGTCGGAGGTTTTTTTTTTTAAGAACTATTCTGCCGTCACCGCGGCCGAGTCGTTTGGAGGCGGAGACGTCGGAACTCCGGTGGCCGTCGACGATAGGCAGGTAGAGCGAGGAGCAGGCGCCGCCGCCGAGTCGATCGCCATGGGTGACCTAGGGAGACAAAGCTCTAAAAATAAGTTTGGGAGCTATAATGCGCGTATAAAATAGTAATGGGTGTTGTTAGTAATTATATTTGCTAATTAATAATTAATTAAATCATTATTACTAATAACCGTCAGATTAGATCAACGGTGTCAGGCATCTGGCGTATACTATACGCCTGACATACACCAGTATGACCCATATATATAGTATAGTATGTAGAATTCATTATTTATAATATGATCTAAAACACTTGGAGTGATATACCTTCAAAACTTATTTAAACACATATAATGCAAAGGGTTTAAACACAAAGCACACACATAGCGAACATAATAGCAGAATATCAATTGGCAACGCTGACTCAACATTTGGTAGTATAAAAGAATGCACAACCTAAGGAGAAATTTTACAATGCTATATAGTATTGGTGCTATAGGTTTTTGCCTTTATGGTACAACTTAAAATTGTACATTTAAGTTATGGTACAACTTCAGATTGTACCTATACTTTTTGTGCAAATTCTTTTACGGTACAACTTGAACTTGTACCTTTATGTGATGGTAAAACTTCAAGTTGTAAAGTTGTACCATAACATAATGGTACAAATTGCTTTATGGTACAACCTAAACTTATACATTTAATATTATGGTACAACTTTGAGTTGTACATTAAAGCACCAATGCTATATAGCATAGTAGAAGTGCTCCAACCTAAGACCAAAAATAGAGGAGTTACCCGATGAAGATAAGTTGATATAAGATGAATTCGGTGGTCTCGTCTTTTGGTTGGTGGAAGGAGCGTATGCACCGACATAAACTTCCTGGCGGCTGCCTGGCATGCTGGAAGCAAAAGGTTGAAAGGAAAATTGGCGCAATACAGATGCATGGGCGCACTCTCTTATTGATCAACGATGGTGTATATTGTGGAGGGGCAGTGGCTGCACAGAGGGAGGAGCGTGGAGCGATGACGGAAGTTGCCGATGAAGACGAAAATCGACCACGAATTGGAGGGCAGGGTCGATGATGTCTAGCAGAGGCTGAGGGTTAAGAACCTGTTCTTTCAAAATGTATTTGGAGAATTGTGGATATGTTGGAACGGAAGAACGATTGCGACGGATGAAAGAATTCATGATATTAGTGGTTCCAAGAGGGTGGTGGCGACAGAATAATGGTGTTTTTTTATAAGCAGGCGGGATGGATTATTTTCCCGAAGGAAGAGACAAATGAGGAGAACTACTGTGTAGGGTTATGACGTGAACCATGTAAGTTTTCAGCGGAGATTACGTGGAGGGTGGAAATCTAAAAGGCCTTTAAGATATTTTATAGATAGATAGATAGATAGATAGATATAGATTTATGTATCTATGTTCATCTTCTTCTTTGCTCCATTCTCCACCATTTATTTAAAGAGATTTATCAAACACCTTCCGGAACCCAACACCGCCCACATCGCCTCCAGCTCGTACGCGAACATGAAAAATCATAAATTGAGACCAGAATTATAGTGGCCCATTACTTTCCTTGTAGATCATTTTTCTTAGCTCTTTGTATACACCTCTACATTTGTCGTCTTTGCTTTATCTTAATTCTGATTGATTCCTACAAGTCTCGAACCTAATCAAGAAAACCAAGGTGCTTGATTACCAATTTGCATGTAAAAATTGTCACCATCTCCCCTATGAAACAAGTGTTCCTTACGTATAGAAAACCTTCTCTGTTTCTGCATCTACCACTCTCTCCTTGATATGTCCTTCATATCATTGACATTCAACATTAAGTACAAATCTCATAACATATTTTTGAAATAGCCAAACTTGGGGAGATCAATTGTAACACCCTTTCTTACATAACATAAAACCATGCATATTTAAAAATATTTGCTTAAACTATATTACAACACCTGACAATTATTTCAAACATGCACAAAAGAAAACCCCTTTTCTTTTCCCAAAAGCCCTAATATGTACATGTGGAGATTCGAGTCATCCGCCCACCTCATCGCGGTCAAACTGGAGCTTGCCTTGTCCCCATCTTCTACTTCTGCTTTTCAAAATCTGAGGGAAAAATATTGACGGGAGTGAGACGTCACCTCAATGAGTAAGCCCTATCCTAGTATCAGAACTAATATAACCATAACATTAAGCATTAACAATATTAATTTTCACATCTAACATTCAACTCCTAATTTCCATGATACTAAAGTCTTACTTTATCATACGCAATCATACATACCCACACATCCATCACACATAATTCATATATATACAGGTTTGCAATTCATCATCGAAGTTCCATATTATCAGGCTTAGTCATGCACCCCACCAATTCCCTTTACCATTTCTTCCCTACTCCACCTCCTCCACCTCCTCCTCGATGCCTAGGCCTCTCCCCCTACACCAACCTAAGGCACCGGAAAGTCTCTCCCTTAATGAGGCTTCTCACCTCAAGACTTATCGCCTCCATCACAATGTGGCATCTCACCACACAATACAAGGCTTCTCGCCTCTATATAACATGGTGGCTCCTCACCACCGACACTAGTGTGGTATCTCACCACAATTGCTACCCTGGCTTCTCACCACCATCCCTACTCCTCTACTCCCCCTTTTGGGTGCCTGACTCACCATCGTATGTTATTTACATTTAACATTCGTTTTATTTACTATTTACCATTACAGCCACCACAATCATCCATGATTATCATCATTATTATCATCAAGGAGGCTCTTCGTGCCTCTCATTCAACATTACCCATCATAATTATCATTCACACAAGCATCACGACCTCTACTCACCATCATCACATTTTCCATTATTCCCATCATATACTGAATCACACTATTAAAATCATTAAGAGACTCACATAATATAATTCATCACAAAAACCAATTTCACCACAATAATCATCCACATTTAATTGAAGAATTTTGTATTTGGGCCGCTTCATGACCCAAATATCATGCTCATATTAGTTGAGCTACTAAGTTAGGAATTACTCACTTCACGTTTATTCAACTATACCCTTGCCTCTTGATGTTTCCCCTGCTAGCTCCTTTCCTTTAAGAAATAAGATGACCACATTTAATATCATAGCAAACAATTTATCTATTAATTAACCGATAAACATAATCTAAATAATATAATTAACACGAATTGTTATACGTAACCAGTTAATCTCTTTACCACATAACGCACACCCAGCTACTCACTGGATATCACCTTGATTACCCCAAATTCGTGCCTCATATCCCTATAAATATACATATCTATACCCCATCATTCTCACACCCTGCTCCCTTTCTCAACTAATTAAATTCCCTTTTTAATTAATCCAATACTTACCTACTTTTCAATTCAACACAGCAGAATTTGTATACATATAATTGCAGGCATAAATATAAGTACACCCCCCTCTAAAATCAACACATGCTTAAACTCATGGGAAAGCACTCAAGAATCACAATCCCATTAATTATAATAACTCACTCTCAAGTTAAACTACCCGTAAGAACCCATGGAAGGTGGTATGTAGAGAAAACTCAGAATCCTCCTACAGTCTATTTCTTCTTCCCGGATGAAGTTATCCTCGTACTACTCTAACATGAGATACCCTAGATATGTCCCTAGTGATGATGCATGCTTTTCTTACTCTCCTTCTTCCCCTTGCAGCACCAACCGATAGGATTATAGGGGGAAATCTCACCTTAGGTATGTCTCCAATACCCGATCCACCAAATCCCCCACAGCTAGCGATCTCTTTCCACCACCGATGACCACAAGAACTAAGGTAGATGGTAATGAGAAAGGAAGATGATGAAGAGGTTTCTGTCCTTATATTTCTCTTGATGCTTAGAAAGAAGGGATGAGATAAGGGTGGCAACCAGCTCTCTCGGTTTCTCCAACTCTAGAACTACCCATCTACCTCCCACCCCATTAAATTAACTCATAAGGATGGCTACGTGTAGGTTTAAAGGTTGGCTTGGAAACTGGGACTTTTCCCATCATAATGAACTAGAAACAAGAGCTCACTTCTCTTCGGTGAATGATAGTCTATTAAGTAAGTTGGTTATAACACAATAGAAGTGTAACCCAATACTTGACTTGGTGGAGGACGGCCCTACTATCTAGAGGGATTTATATCCTTCATTCTTTTCCCCTTTTAACTCTCTTTAATTTGAACTAATTTGGAATGGTTTTGGGTAAAAGACCCATCATGCGAATTAAGTTTAACTTTATTTAGTAATAACATTACTTATACCGAAATCATGATTTAAGCACTCAAAATACGAGGATGTTACATCTCCTCCCCTCTAATTAAAATTTCGTCCCGAAATTTACCTTGAAATAGGTAGGGGTATTGAACTCTCATGTTCTCCTCAGTTTCCCAGGTTGCTCCTTCGCTGGAGTGGTTCCTCCATGTCACCTTTATCATAGGAATACTACGATTCCTAAGTTGTTTGAGCTTCCTATCCACAATCTCCACCGGTTTCTCCACATAGCTCAAATCTTCTTGTATCTCAATTTGGTCAGGTTCTATCACATGGGAGGGATCCGATCGATATTTCCGGAGTAGGCTCACGTGAAACACATTATGAACTTGAGCCAACTCCGGTGGTAAAGCAAGTCTATAGGCTACTGGACCAATCTTCTCTAAGATCTCATATGGTCCAATGTACCTAGGGCTTAACTTCCCCTTCTTATGAAATCGAAGGATTCCCCTCCATGGTGATACTTTTAGAAATACCTTATCACCCACTTGATACTCCATTTCCCTCCGATGAGTATCTGCATAACTCTTTTGTCGGTCTTGTGTAGCTTTTAACCGACCTCGAATCACCTTGAATTTCTCTACTGTGGCTTGCACAATTTCGGGCCCCTCCAATTGTCTCAAACCTTCTTCATCCCAACATACTGGAGATCGGCATTTCCTCCCATACAATGCTTCATATGGGGCCATACCAATACTGCTGTGATATTGGTTGTTATAAGCAAACTCCATTAATGGCAAATGTTCATCCCACGATCCATGAAAATCCAAAACACAAGCTCTCAACATTTCCTCCAAAGTGAGAATGGTACGTTCAGACTGGCCATCAGTTTGAGGATGAAATGCTGTAGAGAAGTTCAAACGAGTACCCAAAGCATCTTGTAAACTTTTCCAGAAACGGGAGGTAAACCTCGGGTCTCTATCAGATACTATAGATACAGGTACCCCATGTAGTCGCACAATTTCATCCACATATCTTCTCGCCAAATGTTCCAGAGAGCATCCCCATCTTATTGGGATAAAGTGAGTCGATTTAGTTAGTCGATCCACTATTACCCAAACCGCATCATTTTTCCTTTGGGTTTTAGGTAGACCATAGACAAAATCCATGGTAACCCTTTCCCATTTCCATTCTGGAATGGATAAAGGTTGCAATTTTCCTGCCGGAGCTTGATGTTCAGCTTTCACTCTTTGACATACTAGACATGTCAAAACATATTCCGCTACTTCTTTCTTCATTCCAGGCCACCAATAATGAGGCCTCAAAGATCCATACATCTTGGTTGCTCCAGGATGCATAGCATAAGATGAGGAATGAGCTTCCTCCATAATCTCCCTCCTAAGCGCTTCCACATTAGGAACACATAAACGACCATTTAAAGTTAAGGCTTCATTTTGAAAGGAAAACTTCGTTTCTTTTCCTTGCCTGATTTCCTCAAAAATTTTCTTCAGGGTAGGATCTTGTTCTTGATATTTTATGATCCTTTCCTTTAGAATTGGCCTTACTTGCAAAGTGGCCATCAAATTTCCCTTATCATCCACATTCAGCTTCACATTCATGGCTCTCAAAGCCAACATATCTGATATGCGACCCATATCCTCCTCGGTATCATTATGTTTGGCTTTTCGGCTTAAAGCATCTGCTACAACATTAGCTTTACCGGGGTGATATTCGATAGTACAATCATAATCTTTCAATAATTCTAGCCACCTCCTCTGTCTCAAATTCAACTCTTTCTGCTCCATCAAGTATTTCAAGCTCTTATGATCGGTAAAGATTTGAAAAGTTTCACCATATAAGTAATGCCTCCAAATCTTCAGAGCAAACACCACCGCAGCTAACTCTAAATCATGAGTGGGATACGACTTCTCATGTGGCCTCAGTTGTCTTGAGGCATATGCAATCACCTTCCCATGTTGCATTAACACGCATCCCAACCCTTGATGTGAAGCATCACTGTAAACCACAAACCCCCCTGTCCCCGTTGGTAAAGTTAGAACAGGTGCTGTGGTTAATTTCCTCTTCAGTTCATCAAAACTAGATTGACATTCTGTGTTCCAAATATAAGGGTGGTTTTTCCTCAACATCTTGGTTAATGGTGTTGCAATAAGGGAGAACCCCTTGATGAATCTTCGATAATAACCCGCCATTCCCAGAAAACTTCTTAATTCTTGTACATTCTTTGGGGGTTCCCATTTTACAACTGCTTCAACTTTTTTTGGATCCACCTCGATGCCTCTCTCCGACACCACATGCCCCAGAAATATCACATGCTTCATCCAAAAGTCACACTTGCTGAATTTTGCATATAATTGCTTCTCCCTCAGAATCTGCAGAACCACCCTCAAATGCTCCTTATGTTCTTCTTTACTTCTGGAGTACACTAAGATATCATCTATGAATACGATTACAAATTTATCTAAGTACTCCTGAAATACTTTGTTCATTAAGGCCATGAACACCGCTGGAGCATTAGTTAACCCAAAAGGCATCACTAGAAACTCATAGTGTCCATACCTTGTACGAAAAGCAGTTTTGGGTATGGCCTCTTCCGCTACCTTTAACTGATGATATCCGGATCTAAGATCAATCTTAGAAAAGACTTTTGACCCTTGCAATTGGTCAAATAAATCATCAATACGAGGTAACGGATATTTATTCTTCACTGTCATTTTGTTGAGTTTCCGGTAATCGATGCACAACCGGAGAGTACCATCCTTCTTTTTCACAAATAACACCGGGGCTCCCCAAGGAGACACACTGGGCCTAATGAATCCTTTGTCAAGTAACTCTTGAAGCTGCTCTTTCAATTCTTTAAGTTCCACTGGGGCCATTCTATATGGAGGAATTGAGATAGGTGCAGTTCCTGGTAATAATTCAATTGTGAACTCGATTTCCCGGTCAAGAGGTAACCCGGGTAAATCGGAAGGAAATACGTCTAGGAACT